CCACACCATCCCCGGTTTTGTCCTCGAGGACAAAACCGAAGCCGATATCATCAGGTTTATCATTTCCAAATTCGAGGACTCCCCCCTTCGATTTCCAACAGAGGACGAAAAGGATTCTCTTTTGCGTGTCTTCGTTGTCAAGGCCGATGGGTGTTGGCTCTGGGTAGAGTGGGCCATCGATGCCCTGATGAAGCCGGGCCTCACCCTAGCCGAGGTCAAGGAGCAAGTCTCTGAGATCCCTGGCAAGTTTTCAGACCTGTACACCAGCTTTTTATCGCAAGTCAAGCCTGAAGACAAGGCCGAGGTGAACACGATTCTTGGAATTGTGATGGCCTGCGACCTGTCACTGTATGTCGAGGATTTCCGGTACATCATGGGCTTCAGCTTGGGGGACTTCAACTCGCATCAGGACCTCCAGAAGCGAGATGACTTCACGCAGGATAACCGCACGATGATGATGCGGGTCAAGCGTCTCTGCGGGCCGCTTCTTGCGCTCAAGCCTGTGCCAAACCGGCCAGATGATGATGACGGCAGCAACGAGCCAGACTGGATTGTGTCCTTCTCGCACCCGACTGCAAAAGAGTTTCTGATGGGAATCACATCAACGGACTTGGCAGTTCCCCCAGCGGCAGAGCTCAAGAAAAAAGGCGACACCATGTTTGCCAAGGCGTGTGCCGATGCTATCGCCTCGGTAGAGGTAAAAAGCGTGCTCGAGGAGATCAGGCTCGCCCAGGATAGGGACGAAGTGGAGCGACACAAAATACAGGCATTAAGGAAATATCCTCTGATTCTCTACGCCGTACTGATGATATTTTCACATCAGTTCAAGGTGATCCAAGAGGCCGGCCCGGAGTCAGAGAAGTACACCAACGAATTCGATGCGTTTTGGACTCCTGAACACTTCGGCATCTGGTCCACGCTCTGGCTTGTGTTTGGGCGCGATGATGGAGAGAAAGGTGCCCTGTCGAAGAACACGTCTCCGCGCGTCGCCATATCCATTTTCGCAATCAACGAAGAGGCCACTGAATATCTGAAGTGGCAGTTCATCAAGGGCAGAATCGAACTGAACGAACGAATTCCCATATACGGCCGGTACCTGACGCTCGCCGCAGTGTCGGGGTCGGCAACCATGGTAAACATGCTCCTGGACCTGGAATCGCCCAAGGTTGATATCGATGCCACCGGCGGGCGCTATTGCAATGCCCTCCAGGCAGCTGCCTTCCACGGTCGTAAGGAGGTCGTCGAGCTATTGCTGGACAGGGGGGCGAATCCGCACATCACAGGTGGTAGGTTCTCATCGCCGCTGTGTGCCGCCGCGTTCTCACTCCACACCGACGTCGTCGAGCTTTTCTTGACACACCCCAGCTGCTCAAATTCCTTTTTCCACGACATGCGGCACCAGCAGTTGGCTCGGAACTTCATCGGCATGCGAGTAGCCATGGACTTTCAGTCATTTCAGAGACCCGGCGACGAGACGGGTTTTGGTGAGAGTGAAGCCAAGAGTCTGTACGAGATGGTTAGGGTCCTAGGTGAGCATGGGCTGAAGTTAGCCAACTTCAAGGATGGCCCATCCATCATTGCCGCCCTGTTCATCATGCAGCGCAGCGCATCCGCCGAGCTCCTGCGTCTTTTGGTTCCCGACGTCCAAGGAATCAGTGGCGACATCGGCCGGGGCATCACTCTCCTCCACCTTGTCTGTGCCGACAGCAACCTCGACACGGTCAAGGTGATCTTCGAAAAGTACACCTCAACTCGCCAACACAGAGTCGTTCGCGATAAAGGTGGTCGAACGCCACTGCATTATGCCGTATCTCTCAACGAATCGACCGACGTCCTCGACTATCTCATCCAGATTTCCCCTAAAATGCCTGGTATGGACGTCAACACCCTCGACTCTTCCGGTCTCGCCCCTCTCCACGCGGCCTTCGCGGAGCAAAACCACGATTACATTACACACCTCCTGCGCGCGGGCGCGCGGCACCCCCCCTTTGACCCAGAGGGCCTCACGCTGGTGCACTTCGCGGCACTTAACTGCCTACACTCGGACCACTTGGATCTGCTCCTCGAGATCGGTCCGTTTGACGCCAACGCGCGCGATATCTCAGAGCGCACGCCGCTCCATCTGGCAGCGTACTATGGTGGGCTGGCGGTAGTTCAATGGCTGCTGGACCACGGAGCTGATGTAAACGCCATCGACGATTCGGGCCGAACCGCGCTGCATTGCGCATGCCAGAACCAGACGCGTGACGCAACAGACATCATTGACTTGCTGCACCAGAGGGGTCTGTCGTTTTCGGCGCGGGACGGTGGTGGTTCAACACCGCTTCACATGGCGTTCCACCAGCCGCGGCAACCAACGCAACGGGCCGCGTTTTGGTATAATGTTTCTGTGACCATGTATGATGACTTCATGGCGGCCAAGTGTAGAGTCATAGTTGAGCATGTGCTGGAGATCATAAATGTCGAGGATAATAAAGACCATGCGGCGCTAATGAACGTGAGGGATGATGTCGGAAATACGGTGCTGCATCTCGCTTGTTGGAGGCAGCTGGAGGACCTGGCTATGCGGATAGCATGGAATGGTGCTGATATCAGTTTGAGGGACCGAAATGGGATGTTGCCATTGGAACTCATCCAGGAGGACGAAGCGCGTAAGTTTGCTGAGGAATCGGCCGAGTTGATTGAGATTATCAAGAAGGATCGGAAAAGCGCGGCTGAGGAAGGAGAGAAAAGGCCAGCGATCAAAGCTGCGCCGAGTGATGATGAGTGCGCGGTGTGGACTGATAGTGAGGGGGAGGACGATTAGGATGTCTTTTGCTTTCAAATTGACGTCTCATTCAAAAGATGCCCTGTCATCTAATACTTGTTCGCGTCTTCGTCGTTTTGTTTTGATTTGGGCTGGCGATTCATGGGCTGCTCTTCTTCCGACGAACAAACGGTCCTTTCAGCCCCAAAGACAAAATAGGTGTCTGGGATGTGCGAGTATCACCATCTTGTTTGGTGCCTGGGAATCCTCGGGCGTAGTATTGTCTTTGGTATTGCCACCAGACCCACCACCCGACCATGATGAAGAGAGTCAGTGGTATCGTAACAGCCCAGTAAATCCAGAAGCTTGGAGTAACGGCACTCTCTCCTGCTGCTTCTTCTGGTGAGCCGTTGGAGGTAGATGTCTGCCAGTTGAACATTGTCATGCTGAACATAGCCTTTCATGTTTGAACTCGTCAGTCTGGGAAATAGATCATCTGCCAAAACATAGTTACCGATAAAGCTTACAGCTACAAATTGCGGGGGTAGAAACACAGCAGTCACAAATGCTAATGTTTTCACGGCAGCACTATCGAGGCCAGCAGCGGCGGCAATTTTTGAGTTGAGTTCATTCCCTGCGTGCGAAATAAAGTTGTAAAGCTGGTGTCTCGGGGGTCAGTATCGAGTGCATGCTGCCATGTGCGCTATATTCTGCAAAGCAGGGACATTGCTTACCACGTTCAACTGAATATCAAGTCTCAACCTCATAGACTCGCCAAAGTCGGCAGCTGATCCGACTTGTCCCTCGAGGTAGCTGAGAAAACCTTCAAGACCCTTCTCTACGTCGACGGGGCTGTGAACTTCAGACGAGCGAATCCCTTCGCATGCCTGGCGGAGGAACTTGCAATAACGCCGATCCCACTTCAACACTTTAGACGTATTGATGACATCTGTGGCTGCTGTGTTTAAACGCGTCATCACTTCCATGCGGCCCTCCTCGTCCGTCATCAACTCCTTGACCTCGGGGCTGATGCCCGTTGTGCTGGTAACAAGACGAGCGGCCTTGGTGACGCCGAGATCCTGTTCAATCCACCTCACCCTAGGCTCCAGGGATTCCAGCATCATGTCGGCCCGGCACACGTGCTCTTGCAGGAGCACAACGGGTATGAGGAGCGGATGAGTCCAGAGTAAGGCGGACGAACGAATGGTTTCTTGCATATTATGAACGTGGGGGAAAACAGGATCGCCAGTAACTTGGTTCTGGTCGGCAAAGACATGCCAGCCATACATGAAGGCAAGCGTTATGCGAGTCTTGAAAGAATGAGTTAGGGTGAGTCCCAAGTTCCCCAGCTGGAACATCTGGGGGAGCTTGACAGTGACGGCTAAGCGCGATACGAAGTATCAGATTAGCTTGAGGTTTCTGAACACTCGATAAGGGAGGTGGGTTGCTGCGTGTATCCTTACACATGGACGCAAGAACCCCCTTTTCGTCATATTTGAAGCTGCTATACTCCCCGCCCGCGTCCTTTGTCATGACGGGAAGAGCCTCGGGAGGGAGATCAAAAAGGGCCTCCATAGACAAGAAGGAGCGCCTGCTCATTGAGAAGCCAGGCGGTCGCCATCCCAGACGCTCACACAATAAAAGGCGGATGGATCCCGTAGCATCGTCCAGGTCATGAGTGTGTGGTATCGCAAATTCGCCTTTTTGCTGCAGCCAGTCGTTCATCTGCGAGTCCCGCAAAGAGCCCTTGCGGAAGTGGCTGGATGCAGTAGCGTCTGTTGCGTGGTAAGTGCAAGCTCACTGCCTTAGCGGGGGTGAATGGGTCGCACGGGAATCTCGACGAGAGTCTCCATAGCTCCACGTCTCAATATAGCCCAATTGGCCATCGTTTGGAATCCATCGAGTGCAAGAATCGAGAATTCGTTGACGCTCCGCTTCAAACATATTTGTGACAGGTTTGGGGCATGTCAATCAGGCCGGAAGAAAAGGTCACAGGGAAGCGGTGGTCTGACAGCGATCCAAAATCTGAGGAAGGATGAGAAATGCGAGCCAACTCACGTGAGTCTACACCCAGTTGATTGGCTCGATGCTAGCTAGCTGTCAAATACGCTGAGGCGGCCCGGCGGACTGCCACGGTAGATCCTAACCCTTCATTGTGGCTTTCAATATTTGGAGGGCAAAAAGGAAGATCCAGAAAATGGAAAGAAAAGTATTGTCGGCACCACATCTCAACGATGCCAGAGCCACTGCAAAACTCGGATACGGGGAATCGAACCCCGGGCCCCTGAGTGCTCAATCTGGAGACCAGATTTTGAGAGTCAGAAATGTTACCGTTACACCATACCCGATTTATTGAAGAGAGCACTTGGAAAGGTTGTTCATTAGGGAAGGCTAGACGGCGAGAAGACGAGCAGGAAGAAACAGAAAGATTTCTTTATCTCATGTCTTGGCAAGCGAGTCAGGAAATTCAGGAAATCCAACGACCCGACGCTCAGGGCAGACGGTAAGTGCAAAGGGAAGCCCCACTTTAGATAACACTCCCGCAAATCACATGTGACTTGACTTTCTTGCGACTAGCGCTGCTTCTCGACCAAAGTTCGGATAGCCTAAATATTTAGCTTGAGCCCGCGTGCGCCGCCGCTGAGCCCAACTCGGAAGGAGGAAGGATTTGCTGAAATACCGCCGGCTGATGTTTTTAGATGATTTCTTATCAGTAAAAGAAGCTAGTCGAGCCGTGATGATGTCGACGAGGAGCCGGCTTGGTTGACCCACTTGGCTCGCTTGACCGTTGGCGTGCATAGGCCTGCGGACAATCATCCCAGATCTTCGGGACCATCCGTTTTTGAATTGCCCCTCCTACCTTTTCCATTTGTCGCGCGTCGCACGCAATCGAGACGGCACAGCAGGCGCCAGCTAGGTGGTTGGGTGGCTATTGGCGATTGGAAAAATCACGTAAAGTGTCACCAGGAAACAATCTAGTACAGTTTCCGCGACGACAATCGAGCACAGAAGCTCGAGCGAGGCTGGCGCCGAAGCTGGCCGAAACACTGACGGTAGTTGTTTGACCAGGGCTCCCGGGGCTCCAAATTGGGCGACGCACGATGATCGATCTGCAAGACTGCAACCCCGCCACCCCTCCTTGGGCGCTCCCTCGCCGAAACCCCCCTTCGCCAGCGGCCATGTGAAACAGCTTAGCCGTTGCGCTGACACCCACGAGACACCGTCACCGGCGCGCACCCGCCATTGTGAATCGCCATACGCTGCCGCGATGGCTCTGGAGCCTGGGCCTTCGTCTGTTGTCTGTCCCCTGCACCCCCCGCGCTGCCGGGGTCCCCTATATAAAACATCAATGACAAAATAATCAGACCATATTTCAGCTCCCGCTCCTTTGATCCCCCTGCTTCAGCCCGACCCGGGGATTCGGACACTCGGCTCCGCTGTCTTGAAAAGATGCTTGTCTCTGTGACTGGGACTACGGGCGTGGTGCTCTCGTCGCTGATGCTGTACAAGGTGCTCGACCTGGCCTTTTATCGACGCCCCCTGCCCCTTAACAACCAACCAACCCGATCACGTCGCACCCGCCGCGGCAGCCCGTGTCTGATTCTCGAAGAGCATTGGCCTGCTTAATCTCGAGGTACGGCATCATCTCCCAAGCCGTGTCGACATATTTGCGCCGACTTCCCCTCTTTGCTTTCGCATATGCTTTGATCTTGTAACTCTCTTGGGCTCTCGTCGCGATCCACCGCCATGTCGACACCACAATTGCGCCACACGGCCAGAATGGAACACGATGCTGATCTCGCAGGAGAGTCGTGGATGCTGCGCAAAGCAGCTGGAGCGAAGGCGCCTGTCGATGAAGACGAGGAGGACTCCAGCTCCGGGTCATCCTCTGGATCTGACACAGCTATGCCAGCCAAGCAGCCAGTCGATGAAAGAAGGCGGCCTGGCCGTTACCCCGGAAGACAGCAAAACGAGAGGCGCCATAACAGTTTAGACCCAAAGGAGACTCAACGCCCAACAACCTCCTCTAATCGGAGGAGTGCACCAGACAGGATCGCCCCTTCGCACTTCAAGAGCACTCCTCCAGCAGTGCACAAAGACTCACCTAGCCGTCAGCCCACTGCAGTCACAGTTGTGGATGGGGGTGAGGAAGACTCGGCCGGTGCCGTCGACTCGGAGTCTGACGAGGATCTTCCGGAGCCCCTGAGCACCCGTCTTAGGTCTGCCACCCTCCAGCACGAGAGGAGAGCCGAAGCCAGTGCTCCAAGAGAAAGAAGCGCAACCACCTCATATGAGCACGTTGACCGGCGCCAGACGGTAACGAGGAGCAGCCCAAAACAATCGGAAGACGAGAAGCATACCAAAAATCGGAGGCCAGATCCCCTGAGCTTTCTAGAACCGGGCTCTGCAGAAGTGACAGCGGAGCGCATCCAACGTGCACTTGCCGAAGCTTCTGGGGAGTGGTCACCAAGCAGCGCTGCATCTTCCTCGAGTAATGACAGCGGCAGCCAGCGCAGCATAGCGGAGACGGACGCAACCACCCCGGAGCAGAGCGTCAATGGAGATGCAATGCCCGCACTACCAACAGACAGCCCCTCTCCACTCCCTGAACACAAGTATGGCACGCCAGAGATGGCGCGGGGCCCAGTAAAGCACCCACATATCCCCCCTAAAGAGCTACAACCTAGGGTATCTGCGCCTGGGCAAGGTCATCCGAAACACCTTCCACGCGCGGAGAAGCTTCCCATGTCTGGATACCAGCTACTGTCGGCAAAACTCTCCAACTCTGCCACCCTTCGATCTCGCAGGCACAGCTCAAGCAGGATGGCGCACGAAAATGGGGAGCAAGCCATCAAGCCCATATATCGGCGGTTCGAAACGTTGAACCACCGCCTATTGCTCCACATGCAGGACGAGCTCACTGAGCTGGAGGAGCAGCTCCATCGCTTAGACACAGCCGATACTCAGACCAGAAGACTATCGAACTGCATCCTTCCAGCTTCGAGGAGAGCAGAGTTTATGTCCGGCGGGGAGTTGCAATGGCATAAGACCGATATTCTCGGCAAGATCGGGTTCAAGCTTGGTCAATACAGTACGACCATTATTCGATCCCTCCTCTCAAGAGAGCCCACTAACATCGCAGCAGACCACGTACTAGCCTCCTTCACCGAGACACAAACCCTGACTCCAGCCTCTCTCGGCGATATCGAAGCCTATCGCACCTACCTCGCCACGCAAAATCCAATCGCTGAGATCGAAACCCGCTTCCTCGACCCAACTGAGGACCTCGTCTGCCTCGCGCCGAACCGCTCCCCAACCTCCTCCTTCTCCTCCAGCTCCCCGCGGTCTGCCTCCCCCTCTGCCATGTCGGACGATTTGCTCACGCCCATGCCGCGCAAAATGACCCTCGGCAAGTTCCCTGCCCCATCACCCTAAACCGACACCATCCTAACAAGACCAACCAGGCTTTACCCCCTCCCCCTCCGCCACAGCCGCCTCCTCGCGCAAGGGCAGCATCGCCAGCTACGAATCCCGATCAACAGAGTCCCAACAACACAGGGAAACACCACAACCCGCCCACCCCAAACCAGCACCCTCGGAGCCTGAAGCGCACGCCGGCCCTGCGCCCGGCATCGGCGCCGACCTTGACTTCCTCCGCACTCCCCTAGGGCAAGTGGCGAGCCTGGCGGCCGTCGCCGTCGTCCTGCCCGTGTGTGCTTTCCCGCTCGTGGGCGACTTTGTTGGGCGCATGGCGGTCGTGCTGGTCGCGGGGCTGGCGGTGGCGGCGCTGCGGGAGAGGCTGGCGGATGCGGGCGTGTGGATTGGTGTGGGCGCGGGGCAGGTCTTGAGGCCGGGGGACGTAATGGTTATTGTTGGAGTTTATGTGGGGGTTATGGGAGTTGTTGCGGTTTTGCTGTAGGGGGGTTTTCTTTGCCGTGTTTGAGGTGTGGTTTAAGGGGTTTCAAGAGGCGTATGATTGGGGTGATGGATGTGTTTGCATAGCGCGATTTGGGAAACCGGGCGGGCGTTGGTTGAGGGATGTGATCAGATGGCTTGTGTGCATATATATAAGAATTACTTGTCCATTTACATATAGAGCAGAAGCAGGGTGACGAACAACAAACAGACTTGATGCTTCAAGTTGCTTCAACTTGTACCCACTCGTGCGACCGATGAATCGCAAACAAAACACCACGTGTGCTAGGAGAGTCATTTGATGTACCGTATCATCTTTTATCCTACCCCTCTATCTAGACGCTGGGAGAACAGACACAAGGGTACTATCAAAAGTACCAAGTCACGGAATGGTGAACCTAGGTAGGTAGGCACACCCTTTCCCCCAGCGTTCAAAAGAACAAAAGCCCAAAATTACCTCCCCAAAGTCTCGCCCGAGATCCGCTATCAGCGCAATACGCAACGTCAATAATTGTTGTACCAAGATTGGTCATACTGGCCGGTCGGTTGCTCGCATCTCAGGTTGTTCTCCCGGAGAACCTGCCGGTCACGTTAGCCTCACTCCAATCTCTGGTGCTGCAATTACTGCCTACATTTTGGATCATTGCGATGGTCGTGTTATTGGCGCTTTGGTATTGTCGAATTTCGTCCCTGGCTCTCTCAGCCAACTTGGAAGACTCCGATACCTGGTCCCCCAACGCGGCCATTTCACGCTCGATACGTTCCAACCGGCGGTTCAACTCCTCATTCTCTTCCATGACTCGATCGTATTCCCGAGACATGAGGTCCTAGAAAGTGATAAGAATCACCAGGTCAGCGTGATGGAAAGAGGAGATTGGTCAGGACATACCTCAAAGTTGGCCGTGCTGACGCTTGGCGAAAAGGGCCCGACGGGAGTCGCAGGGAGGGCTGGAGGCTCCCAAGCAGGCTGCCAGGCGAGGGCCGGTTCCGGCTTGGGTGCGGGGGGCTCGGGGGTGTAGTGATCTCTGAGGTCGGGGACGTATATGGGTTCAGGGGTACCAAGAGATTTGGGCTCAGGGGCACCAAAAACGCTGGGCTCAGGGGTATGTTGGACCGCGTGGTGGGCGACGTTGGGGTCCTCTTGTTGCACCACCACCTCGGGCACCGCTTGAGGTGCGGAGGTCTATTGGTTCGTTAGTGTTGGAGGTTGTTAAATGCCTCATGGGAGAGATGGGAAGCCTACCGGCTGATGGGAAGATGCCTGTCTCCTTGCACCGCAGCGGGGGCGGAGGTTGTAGCGCTGCTGAGGGGTTGTGTTCGTCATGTTTTCGGGATTGGTCTGGTTAGGTATGGAAGACGGCATTGTTCCCTAGGGGCAACTCACTGTCAGTACCGCACACTTGAGGCTTTCGCTTTGTCATGGCTGTCGAGA